GGCAACTTTCGAAACCACTGTCATTAGGGGGCATATATTATGATTACTTTTCGCCTCCTCCCGATGGACAAAGCCTGGGTTATGTGAGCTGGCGCGAACGTAGAAGGACTTATCCAGCCTCTACCCATCGCATCAGAGTGAGATTCCCAGACTACCTTTCTGACATTTGAATCTGCGTTCATTAACATTCAAGTGTTTTACATTGGCCATGCACAAGGCTAATGTAGACCGTAAGATATGATTTAACAAACTTTCCCAAGGCGTCCGCAGGCCACACTTTGAGAAACATTGGCATACAATGGCATCTCGTGCAACAATCACTCGCAGATACTCTATTCGAATCGAACACACACGCTGGTCTTTACTTTATGATTATCAAACGACGCGTTAACAGATCTGGCGTTGCGCGGGCTTAAAATCTTCTGTAACTGCTTTGTATGTAAACCACCACACTTCATGCACTAGGGTGTTTAACTTGTGAACGCTGCGGGAAACCCACAGAGTCTGAATACTCGCTTGTCTCAAATTCTACAAGTGGTACATCATTTGAGCCAAGTATAACATATCCTCGTCTCTCGATTTTGACGTTCCAGTGCATGACCCAACAACTGATCAAAATATTCGCTGGAAATCGCAGAATCAGCCCCATTGCTTTAAATTAATGTATTATTCATCCATACCTTACGGCAACGCAATTCTTTAGGCATGGGCAGAGTAGTACTGTCGAGATTTTCGTGATTATTTCGTGAGATGAAACTCGTTCTGACGGAAGATGGGCATGTTGTAATGGTACGCGACATACCACATGCGCACTGTTTTATCCGCAGAGGCCGTAAAGGAAGAAATGGCTTGTAAGACTATCTGGAAAAACTAGTTCTGTGTAGTGTGTGAACTCTTCAGCGACCCAATGATGATGTACTGTGTTTTGCAGTAAAATCATGGGTGAACGTGTCTGTTTCGACTATCGACGCTCTCACTTCGCCGCACCTTACCCGACTCCTGAGTTAACTCCTCTTTCCGCCAATCATCACACTTTATTCGCCTGTAATTCCTATCGCTTTGAAGGGTTCCATACAGCAATCCTGTGTGAAGTGATTGCAGTGAAACTAAAAGTGCTACAACATCTCTTCCTCTAGCTATGTAGTTAATACATCTTACAAAGTTAGCAGTTTCTACATGATTTACTGTGTCTGATGCTCCGTCAGTTTCCGGTACCGGGAAGTAGTGATTTACGTGGTTATGCACTTTCGATCATCTGATTGGGTGCAATACACAACGGATCAAACTGTGCTCACTGTTTAGCAACCACTGGTATTTGACACTCTTCTTAGGTCTCATCGTTAAAGGTTCGTTTTCGCATAATACCACAAGACGTAACCTTAAGGTTACTGGTGGTTTAAAATATCAGGGGTATAAAAAAGACAGTAGGGAATAAAGTGCTCTACTATGCTATTACTTGGCTCATCCTCATTACAGGTTAGCTAAAGATGAGAAATACCGCTGCTATTTTGCAGTAATACAAAAGCGAACACGTATGGAGAAAGCGATATAGAAAACGCTATAGTAACACAAATACCAAAAATAACAAGTAATGTAGTGCATACTGTCACGGTATACTTCAAAAGTGAGCTCATGGTTGCAAGGGGAAGTAGGCGAGATGGGGAGGGACAAAGAAACTCACAAGACAAACGCCATTAAGCTCGGCTCCTTGTCATCTCAACTAGTGTATCTAACCAAACATTTTCATCGTACTTCGGAACCCAGCCAGATAGTCGGAAGACACCAACAGACGCCAACTTCGGGGTGAGGGTTTTCACTCCTCTTAAGTAAGTCATCGCTTGGCCACTCTCCTCTTCTTCCGTCGGTAAACGACTCGCAAGACCAAGAGAAGGGCTTGCACAAGCACCGGCTGCTTAAACAATTCGGTTTACTTTAGCACGACCAAAAGGCGGTCTGAACACCGTCTACTCACCTTACTACTTATTCCTTGCTAACAAAGTGCTGAATGCCAGCTTAGAGCTGGTTTGCAAAATGTGCACTTTAAATTGAAGATGGTATATAACCGGCCGGAATCCTTTAAACCACAATCACCGATTCAGAAATGGTTGTTTTCAATAACAAGTTATAACTGGGATCCAGGGAAATCCACGTTACCAACTAGTCTGATTTTCTCCGTGTGATCAAATCAGATAGATCACCCAGCCTATATTGCATTAGCAACGTTATATGAACTTCGATTAGGATTCCTCACTCTCAAGTGTTGTGTGTTCAAAGCTGCGCGGTATAACTAGGATGTGTAGCTGTATAAGGGGGTATCATTCTATGCGAATTCCACCTGATTCAATAAAGTGCGCTCATGTTGTCTCAGTTCGCTGTTATGGCTCAGCTCCATTGGACACGTATTGGTACACTTGTAACTAAAGAGGTCAATAAGAGGAACTTGAAAAATTCCGTTCATGATACTTTACTTTATTTGAGTGTTCTCAAGCAATACGGAATGTCCTGTCAATCATACAGGCTTCCGTGGTACCAAGGCAACCAAGTCTTGTGAATGTAACGGAAAGCAAATTGGGAACTTGCATTCCTATAGCGGTCTTCGCCGAGCAAATTCAGTATGAAGCGGATTAATCCCCTTGGACTGATTGGCAGTGATTATACTGCACCGGAATACTTCGGCTGCTCAGTTTATTCGCAAAAGAAACGTCTTTCATCTAGCTATTTTGATGAGTGAGAACCTTATCGTTGAGCTGCAGTGGTTCTGTTGAAAACTGCACAATAGCACAAGACCGTGTTGGCATGCATACAATATACTCTCTGACCAATATCTGTCACAACAAGGTAACTCTTAGTGATGAGAAATGTCGTTTACAACGTTTGAAGCCAACGGAGGGCTTCGGTAAAAGGATACAGCAAAAGTCCACTAGATGGCATCACTGCTACCTTCAATCAATTGGATTTTGGGAGCCGTAAATTATCATCATATTCTCATGGGTATGTACGTCACTATCGATGGATCTTGTCAAATTTCGAATGGAAAAAACCATGACTACGAAGAAAAGGAAGGTTTCTTTTAACATACGACAAACCTAGGGCGACCATAGTTACACACCATCGTTTGTCTAATGATAGTAGGTGGCAAAGCCCTATCCGCTGTATATTTCTTCAGTTTTTCTTATCAAGTACTGCACTGAAAAAGGAGGAGCAGAAAGAAAGCAAAACAAAAGTTGTAGGTGGAAAAAGAGTGTGTTGACGTCTTAAGCTCTCCAAAGTATCCGGTAAATATGCATAGATTTATATTATTAATAGCTTCCCAAACTGTTTAACAACCAACCTGTGGCTGATGCCTGAAAGTCAGAACAACACTCTCGCTTGAGGAGGCGCTAGTAAACGATTGCGTTCGAATAAAATAGCGACACGAGGCCATCATTGTTTGCTGTTTTACATTGGTGTGATCGTACAGAGCGACCTCAACTGTTCAAAACAGGCTGAGGTAGCTGCAAAAAGTGGCAACCAGCACGTCAGCATGCTGCGAAGGGCATTCGAGAGATTTGACCCATCAATCAACCAATGATTCATAATTCCTACGTGCGCCCGCATGTTGAATACGCTATCCAAGCTTGGCAACCTTGGTTGAAGCGCGACCTAGAAGCGATAGAGGCACCACAACGAAGAGCAACAAAGAATGTAAAGGGCCTGCGCTATCACTCTTACCACCGAAAGCTGAAGTTGCTGGGAATTTTCAGCGGGCGCTATCGAAGGCTGCGCGGCGATCTCATATTAGCGTATCAGATACTGAGTGACCCCAACCACGTATGCCGCCATTTGCTGAAACTTAGCCACAACACGCAGCTCAGGGGTAACTACTTAAATTTGAAGGAACAATATAGCTGTCTAGAGTGTCGACGGAATTACTTTTCCATTTGGGTTTACCAACCCAGGAACGCACTCATAGACTCAGTTGTATCCTCTCCTACCTTGGGTGTTTTCAAAAAACGACTAGATGTTGCTCGTAGCTCCCAACATTTTGTTACCTAAACTCCATTGTGGATTACGCCAAGCATGCTTTTCAACAGGATTTATGTATTAAATGGACCTAAGTGAGCGACTATATTTTACTTTTCTCACCCCTTACCTCAACGATCACTGCACCCCAGTGTCTTTCTGAACGTTTATGCTGGATAATTTTTTAATTTTACACTGATTTTAATTATCAAACTAATCATCTCGGCAGACGTTCGATAGATGACCCAGACATATTTGGATTTCATCATATTCACCGCAACCATCCTATGGGACGTGTCAAGCACTTGCTTTTATCCCGTGATAAATCATTGTTCATTGTTCATTCTCTTGCGTAGGTAAGGACGCAGTGGGGAGTGGATATACTGCACAAAAGCATCCCACTCACGGGAATCCAATTTGTAACTGCTGTCCCCGCACCTAAGTGAACTCCTTCTATATGCCTTATTTCCCAAAATCCATAAGTCGCATGTGTCGAGAAGTTAAAACTACTGTAGCATGTTACAAATTTTAATTTTTAACGGTATGTTCCTGTTTCGATTTCCATCAGCCACTGAAGCGATTGCTTTAACTGTCAGCTACAATAAAATCCTTTAATGTTTCAATTGAGGTTTCAATGCAGTTACTTTACCCGGCTTGTTCGGTCCTAAGGACCAAACTTGCACCTTTGTGAGTTAGCGCCCAACACATAAGATCACAAGTATCGTTACGAGGTCAATCAAGAGTGGGAGCCAATTGGAGGTCAGACTAATATTTCGTCTTCTGTCGACTGCCAGTTCTTCTCCAATCGGCTTTCCTACGTCTCTTTTGGCAGCACATCGCTCTAACTGAAGCGGACAGCGGTGTAATTTCGTGGAGCACAAAGCGAATGGTGGATTATGAATATGAGTGCTAGACATTTGAGGGAGAACCTACCTGATAACAGCTAGACGTGCTGTTTGCTCTTCTGCTCCCCCATCTGGCAGTCGCCTTATTAGTCGTATTACTACAGTCTTTTCATTCCGGACGTTCAGATCAAATACATGTCAAGAAGTAGCATACAGAATTTCACATTCAAATCATCAGATCAATGACTGTATTCGAAATAATGTCAGTATCCACCATTGTAGAGTGTCATTTTAAAATCGCTTGAAGCTAGAACAAATATCATGTGGCTAGAATACAAAAGGATCTCGAAAACTACATCCTGATTTGAAAGAGAAGACATTTTTGTTCTGTGACGCTGGGCTTCCGAAGCAAGTAGACAATCGACCAAGGAATCCGCGTAAACCTCACGCGTTTTGGGTGCAAAATGACATTGGGTTCTGCGAATAAAAGGGGAACAATCACAGGTTCTAACTATACACATAGATATGGCAAGTCAGCAGTTAGCAACTAACTTCATGATCGCCTGTTAGTGAAGGACAAATATTATCGTTGGTAAAGAAGTAATCTTGGTTATTCGTGCGCCTACTAACTTTAATAATCAGGACAGCAAATTATTAGGCCTTTATAACAACGGACAAAGCCAGCTCAAAAATGAGCGCATTAGCGAAGAGGAAGATCAGGGAGAGAATTCAGTGGGAGCAGAGCATAAAGGTTGAGAACAACTGCATACATCTCCGTGAAAGCAACTTACTTGGTTCTCTTTTTCGTCTTCTGCCGAAAACTTAGGCGGCATTTTCAGAGCTGAGGAACAAACAATAAGACAAGGTGGCACGTAACCACTGATGAACATGAGGTAAACATGGGAATGAACATCGATGTTAGCAAGTTAGACACTTTCGTGTTGTATTTAATGGAATAGTGGCACAATCCTATAGTAACGGTAAAAGGCTAAACCTTAACAAGTTTCGACCAATAGTTAGTATGTAAAACATAATTGTAAAGAGGAAAGTTGTTTGCACGGTAAGCCGCAAATCGATGGACCCACTATAATAGTTACACTGTCACAAATGTAAATTCGTGTAGTCAAAATGCGGGGCCACGGTGCTGGGCTGTGCAGTGATCATTTGCGCTTCCTTGTTAGCTAGTGAAGATCATCATCATCATTATACACCTTAGCTGCAGGTGGAAAGCACCTCAGCTATCGTACCGCAATACAAAAGAGAAGGAGAAAAGAAAAGCAACACTGGTACGCCGGCTGAGTCCCCAGTAACGGATGGACATCATTCCGGAGAGCTAACAGCTGGCTTTGGTGCCACAAAAAGAGAGTCGTCTTAAGCCTAAAGATTGAAATCGTGATTGGAGGGGAAATGAGCAGGAGGGACAGAGAAACTCACAACACAAACGCCATTGGGGCCGGCTCCTAGCCATACAAGCAAGTGTGTCCAACAAAACGTGTTCATCGTCCTTAGGACTCCAGCCAGGCAGTTGGGATGCACCAACCGACGCCAAATTCGAACTGAAGGTTTTCATTTCTCTCGACCAAGTAATCGCTTGACTCCCTCTTTCTCTTCTAACCGCACCCCCTGCGAGCAAACAATGCACGTCGGGGGGGGGGTCAGTGTGTTGTGCTGGCATGCGCAACGCGTGACCCAGCCATCGTAGCCCGGTGTGATGTACTGGTGCTGAGCGGTTCACTCGCTTTTCCTGCAAGTAATACGAGACGCCGAACACGCTCATTGCTCACGCGGTGCTACCACCCGACACGAGCTAAACCGCGAAGGCAGCGATGATCGAAAGTGACGAGCCTGTTTACGTCTGTCGACCTGATGGGCCAGGTTTCACAACTATATAGGAGAGCTGAACGGACGGCTGCGTTATAAACTCTGCTCTTCAGGGCGAGAGTAATGACGCGTCTGCGCAACAGGTGGCGGAGATTCGCAATAGCACCTCGAGCTTTTGCTGTACGGTTCGTACCCACATCTTCGATCCCACGGGCTCTAACATAGCTGCCCAGGTATTTGAATTCCTGAACGAATTCTAGCTTATAACTACAAAGCGCAGGGGTGGGGCCCCGCCAAGCTTGGAGAAGTACTTTGCATTTCGATGGAACAAGGCATAGCCCAAAACTACAGACAGACAGGGCTAGTCGGTCCAGTGCTGCTTGGCATGTTTGAGAGCTGTCACAGTTTATGACAATATCGTCCGCGTACTCTAATTCAAGAAGTTGCTCTCCAGGAAATAGCTCTACACCTTCCAGGTCGTGTCCAGCGAACGCTATTTCCAGGACTTTGTCAATAGCGAAGTGAAAGAGGAAAGGTGACAGCGGGCATTCTTGCCTCACACCGCTGAAGATACTGAAGGGTGGCGACAGCTTGCCGTAAGCCCTCACTCTGCCCGTGCTACGCGTGTATAATGCTTGGATAATATTTACATATTTCTCGGGCACACCATTTTTGAGTAGACAATTCTAAAGGGCATATCGATCAACCGAATCGAAGGCGCCTTTGATGTCGAGGAACACAACTACGGTGGGCCGCCAATATGTGTGACGGTGCTCCAACAACTGACGCAAAGTGAAGATGTGGTCGATGCAGCCACGACCACGACGAAATCCGGCTTGCTCCTCACGAATCCGGCTTTCACGAGCGCCAGTCAGTCTGTGAAGAATCATGGAGGCGAGTAATTTGGAGGCGATGTAAATCAGGCTGATACATCTATGGTTGCCGCATTCCGAACGTGAGCCGCCTTTGAATATGGGAACAATAACGGAGCGGCTCAAATCGGTTGTCACAGCCTCCTGCTCCCAGTTTCACTAGTAATTCATGTACAGCATCAACAAGAGTAGAGCCTCCGAATTTGAAGGGGGCTGGAGGAAGATCATTTAAACCCACGGCTTTGTTCAACTTCAAAAGTCCGACCTCACGTTTGACTTCTGAGCGAGAGGATGGATCCAAAGAGACAGCCCACGGAGCAGGGCGATCACTGGCCGGCGAAGAATCGAACAATTCTAGTCGATTAAATTACTCTTCAAAATGCTCAACCCGACACTCCAAACGTTTTGACAAATTGTGGATAGGTTGTCCACTTTCGTCATGTATAGTTTCACTAACACCAGGTCACCTGCTGCCCGTTTCCTGTATCAGACGGAATAACTTACGATGGTTGTCAAGGGCAGCGGCCATTTCCATCTCCGACGCACGATGAGACCACCAAGATTCGCGGTCTCTCTTCAGGTTAGCACGGAGTTTTTCCCGGAGCGCTTTGCGAGTTTCATTGTGTTCGCTTCCAGCCGGGATATGCCGGCGAGCGTCGATAAGTTCCAGAGACTGCGAAGAGACCCAATATTCATGTTGGCTAGTAGACATACCACACGAGGATTTGCCTGCTGCTAGTAAGGTCTGATGAACATGCGACCATTGACCATCAATTGTCTCCAGTGAGCGGTTACTCAGCTCGCATGTCAGCGTACTTCGATACGCATTTAGAACAGCTAGCTTTGTCAGTTGGCTGGTGTCAATGTGCTCACAGCGTCGTCGTGGGCGTCCGCCAAAACGCATCCGCATGTCAGCACATACAAGTAAATGAACGGTGTCCACACATGTGATCCAAATCGAGCAACAGTTCTGGATGCAGCCTCTCCAGCGGTAACTTATCGCAATGTGATCGATCTGCGTGCAAGGCTGGTTCGAGGCTGGTGGGCGCCAAGTCACCCTCCGGCGGGTGCTGTGTCGGAAATTAGTGTCCGCAAGAAATAAGCGAGCATCTTCACACAAATGAAGTAACCGCTCACCGTTATCATTACGGGAGCCTACACCGTGCTGACCGCCCAGATGCATTTCATCAGTGGACAACTTTCCAACTTGTGCGTTCATATCCCCCGCCAGCATAACAGTGTTGGTGCTTCTTCTGTGGCGAAGTAGCTGGGTCAGTTGGCGGTAAAAGTCATTCTTTACCGAATCATCGCTACAGTTTGTGGGCGCGTAGGCAGCGATGATGAATAGACACCTATTAGTTCCGCGCGACTTCGAAGCTTTGAACGAGCCAGCCAATCGGACCGCGCACATCCGGCTACTGATTGGAATCCAATCAACCAGAGCAGCTTCAGCCCGGGGACTCAGAGCAATGCCAACACTAGCTTGGCCGGTGCTCGAAGGTGCATCGTCACCGGATAGGCGCATTGGGAAAATACTGCTTGCGTCACCTGAAGGGGATCGCAGAGTGAGCACAGAGATCGAGTCTTGCAAGCAGGTCTCTGATAAGCAGCAGATATTGATCGAGAGGGTCTCCAATGTTCGGGTAAGTGCCGCCTGCTCTTTCCGTTGGCTGGGATACAAGCAGTTCAAATTGATGCGGTACTACTGTGGATGATGCTCATTACTACGGTGATACTCGGTTATGTGTAGTACCTTATGGTCGTTATTAAGAGGAATACTGGAGGCAATTCGGGGGATGTTTTCGTGTAGGCCTTTGCACCATATCGAGAGAAGCACAGCTCCGGTGCAAAAGATGCTGAATCGTTGTTGCATAAACAGCGCTTGAGTTCAAGTGTAGCTTCCATATAATCAAATACAGTTCAAGCTGTTATGGCGACCAGCCAAAAACACTCCCCAAGTTTTCTCCTATGAGTAATATCCCTATGTATAACCCAGTCTATGGCGACCACCTGCCCAAGACGACCACACTTTGTCGGTGCTTTAAGTGGTAGCCTTAGACAGGTTTGACTGTAATTTTAATTTATTCGTCCCCACCTGGAAATACACTGGATGCGTGTCTCGCCCTACTGGGGCTCGTCAGTGGTGCGCATCCTCCGGTCCCCTACTAGGGATCGAACACATGACCGATAGGAGCTGACACCAACTAGCCAGAAGCTTAAGGCACTGAGCCTTGGAAACTGTGCTTGAGGTACATAATTTGCAACTTAACCGAGACGAATAAATTATACTTACAACAAAGATCCTCCTACTCGTGAGGAAAAGGGGTAAGTATTGTTAGAGAACTAGAAGGGAAATGGCGCGGTACAAAATACCTTTCATTCCCCTGGTTTCTGGTACTGTTGTCTGTTTTCTGTGCAGTCAGTACGTTGGGACCCCCTAACAAAAATTTCGGCGGCTAGCTTACAAATGGGATAATTTGGGGCTATTGTTGTTTTCTTCCAAAATGTTATAGCACAATGTTAAAAGGCAACGTAAAAAACCGAGTTTTAGGGCTACTTACTCGGATTGCACTGTTTGGGACTGATCGTGTGAGAGTGCGTAATGCCTTTATCTCTGCGCCACCGGTAGAAAGAGGGCGAACGTTCGATCACGGTGCTCGCTGGCTTTGAACTCGTCGCCATGACATCGGGAACCACGATCGCCGAAAGAGGGACTGTGAGAAATGTTGTGTAGTCTCCGTCACTATGTTGGACTGACTGCGTTTGGAATTCCGCATTGCTCAGCGTAAACAAATGTCCCGTGACATCCAATTGTTGTAGTCCGGAAGGTTGGCTAACCTTATGATGTAACGGTAAAGTAATGGTGGCGTCATCCTGCTGCAGCTTGCCCAGCCCTTTCGTCTTGCGTGACTTTGACGACAACCCATCTAGATCACGACGATTTTCATCCTCATTGGAAGCCAGTGAAGGGTTCGGTTGAGTGAACTTGCCGGATCTCGCAGTACGATCATCAGTGAGACGGTTTGAAGATTCTCGGAAACACTTTGCCCATTGATCTGGTTTGGATACTGAACCAGTAAGGTCGACAGTGTGTATGAATCACGGACAGTAGATTTTTGCTAGTTTACACATAGGTTGGCAGTCGAGTCAATCATAGGATAGCGATATGAAAACCCCGTTACCTGAGCTTGTCTGTGAGACCTGGTGTCACTTTGGAACATAATAAAAAACAACAAGTTACACCCTAATAGGTCGAGTTATGCGAAGCGTCTCACTTCCAGCGCAGTTAAAGTAGCACTGCCTATATTGCAGTGTCCCAATTACCGACAATCCCGAATCACAAATGTTATCAAATCAAAGTGACTACGGGGACCAACGGAATACTCACATCAGCACTCCCAGCTACAATCATTCTCGTAAAGGTCATTCTTCACTTTGTAGACCGTGCTGGTTGTCCTTAAAATACACTAGACTTAGCCGTAATTTAACACGTGCGAATTTTAGTGTTTTTATGTGAACTATAAGTCAGATACACGCAGTCCTCGTCAATCTGACATTTTCGAACTTCACAGTGACCTCACTGTTCGATTCCAAAAGAAAATTACAATGAGGCACCTAAAAGGATTTGCCTTGCCATTCCGAAGGATATTTCATCCTATTGCTCGTGGACAACGTCACGTGAATGTGCCTGAAGCACAACTATCCCAACGTTTAGACAGTTTAGTGAAGAGATCCTTTTACTATGGTTTCGTCTTCGGATCTATCATAGGATAACATTCAAATAAGTCTGGTCACATACATTACCATCTTTCTCTCGTCCAAAGTGCTTTAGGAGTTAGTTGTAACATTACTAAGTTTGCAAAGTTATCTGAGCAACACGGTTGGTATCACGACAAAATAAGCAACAAGGGAAAATCAGCATTTTAGGCTTAACAAAGCATCGCTCACACCAGTGTGGATGCTTATCACCACTGCGTGCGGAAGGTGGTGGCCGTACCTTGGTCTGTTGCACCGTGGAACCACTCTTTGAGCCCAACACAGCCGAAACAACTACATCTCATGAAACCAAGTAATGACTAGTAGATGCTTTGAACCAGTTAGATCGAGGTGACTTCACAGGACGGATAAGCACCTTAACAACAGTACTCGCATGTGTAGTCTTGATGTGTCGAGCGGGAGTAGGCGTTAAGCATGTGGAAACACGCGCTCACTGTCCATCTCGACGAGACTGGACTTTAGAGTGAAATGTTAGTTCTCGTACCTCAGGGAGCAAACGGAGCTGTGCTTCTGGCACTCATACCAAATTGTTTACTCGTTAGATGTTAAAGAAGCCCAAACTCTTGGTCCTGCACGCTGAGGATTGGACTGAAGGTGACCGATACTTCCTTAAAACGATCGGTTTGTAGCCTACGGCCCCGTGGTCTGGTTTCTGAGAGTCCCATTCGTTCTCCTGACAGTATCCTACTCACACAGTAAAATAGACTCCTCCTCAAACAAAGTCTTGACGCGCTGACCTTCGTAGAAGATAAAGCACGGTGCCACATTTGTGGCATCGAGCGAGGTTGATGGCGGCGAGGACGCTACTGCTCTGGTCAGCCCAGTCCCCTTCTATTTTTCAACAATCTCATCCCTTTCTAAATTCAATTCCAACCCCATCTTTTCAATCCCCATGCACTGTGGCATTCTCCCAAGTAGCTACTATACGCCTTGTTCTCTACTTTGAACTCAGATGCAAGCGCTTTTCGCTCCGGTCACCCTCGATAAGTCTACGTCGAGCCAAGTGGACAGCTTCAGTACATCTGCAGCAATTTGGAAACATCGATGTCTGCTTGGACTGACACTTTTCAACAAGCGCGCTTCGTTGCAGATCGAGCAATGGGAAGCACTTGCCAAAAATTTAGCGACTCCATCGATCAATCTCTGCTGTGCCCGGAAACTAGCCTGCAAGACCCGAGCACCGGGCTCACCCTAAGATCCCTTTCCTATGAGACTGGCCACATCATCCCATTACATCTGTCTGGATAAAGAAGCACTAAATGCTAGTCAAACCAGTGGGAGTATTGCTCTGAGTCCCAGCGCTGGGGCTACTCTGTTCGACTGGACTCAAGTCAGAAGCCGGATGTGCGCTGTCAGGTAGGCTGGTTGGTTTCATTCCTCGAAGTGGCTCGGGGACAGCTAGTACCTAATTCAGCTCTTCGGAAGGTCCCACAATCTTGGCACTGATTCGGGGAAGATGATTTCTGTCGTCAAGTGCACGAGCTCCTTTGTCGCTGAGAAAGCACCGGCTACTTAGTGGTGGGCGGTGATCTGTACGCTCAAATTGCAAAGCTATTAAATTAGGGCATCTAGCGAGTACTAGCTTCTGACACAGTTTCCGTAACAGCATTACATGGGGTGCTCACCAATCTCGAACCAGCCCTAGAAGCAAATCAACCATATCGCGACCAGTTAACGTTGAAGGGGCTGAGGACAAAGCTGCCGCTTTATTTGCACTTGTACTCCTAATGTCCAAGGACGTTTCCGTGGACGCACGCGACGACGCTCTGAGGGTACAGACACCCGCCAACCGGCGAGGCCAAATGTTCTGAATGGAGATCGAATACACCGGAATTTGGCTTGCGTAGGCAATTAATGAACGCAGCAGGTCGCAAGTTCATCATTTGTTGTCAGCACCAATGCATGTCGCCATGTACCAAATCTGATTGGCTGTCTGGGTAATGGGTCTCAACTTCGAAACCTTTCGAATGAAAACGAACAGAACGAGACTCGCAACGAGCTCAGGGTAAACCTGTGTGCTAGTCTGAAGACAGGCAGTTAGGCTTGGTGGCCTCATTAGCCATCAGAGACGGAAACGGGTGCTGATGTTGGTAGCCATCGTAAGCTAATCAGCGTCGTCCGGAAAACTGCAGCAAAAGAAGTGGTGTAAGCGAAACCATGTGCAACAAAAGGGAGCCTGTCTACGGCCTTGGACGGTTGTGATGTGCTAGCTCCCTTATTGACCGATGCTCACTCTGGTGCCTGGGTCGTCTGTCTGGTTCCACCCACGAGAGCCGAAGTTGCAATGGAGATTACGCTGTTCAAAATATATAATGCTGCATGGTCACATGGCTTTCCACCTGCCCTACTCAAATTCAGAGGACTAACTCTCATAGATGAGTTGTACGATTTATTAGTGAAACGGCGGGAATAAGTAACTAGTCCACCCGCCTGGAGCTGCTCCGTTATAGTCCCGTTGTTTAAGAGGGAGTCACAGCAGAATGCGGTCATCTTAGAGCGATCAGTCAGATTACAACTGCCACTAAACTGTTTACCTGTGTCGTTCCTCACACATTAACTGGCACCCGTAAAATCCAGATTCGTGAGAAGAAAAGCGGGTTTCGTCGAAATCGTAGATTTATTGATCTCCTCTTCACTTGATTCCAGGAATTGGAGTATCGTCACATCTGTTAACGAGCTACTCTTGTAACGACCCAAGCAATAAACTTCATAGTATTCAAAAGTTTTGCGACTCTTTCGTTTATTTATCCTTGTTTTACTCCACCCTACCCTTCCTCTACATTCTCTCATTATCATCTGCTTCGTTTTACTGCCTTGACCCCCCGTGCCTGTTCGCTTCATCCGTTCCTGCCTCCTTGTAGCCTCCGCGAATGTAGCCAGATGTATCCGAAGTTTCTCGTGGCTTGCCTTTCATCATTCAATCATGCTCCACTTTTCCGGCTGGTATTTACTAATCCCACGTTTTAGCCATGTTTCTGGACATCAAAAATGCCTCTGATTCGGTGAATTAATGTGCCTTTTGGAATTGTGTGAATAAGAAAAGCTTAAATGTCATAACAACGCTTCAAGAGTCTTGTTTATACATGGTGACGGCTTATGGTAAATTGCATCTCCAGGAGTGTTAGACAGGGATACGCTTCGTCCCGTTTACTTCCAACCTCACCGTTGACGGATTCATGCAAACCGCATTCACCGAACTCAACTTGGAATGTGTAGTTTTGGTTCCAGGTGATCTACTTCACATCACCATCATCATCAGCAGCATCATCACGTCATCTGTGACAGCTCACAAGCGTGCCAATCGCCCTGGTTAGTTTTGCATTGGACATCAATTGTTCCAAACTGGGCCTCCCATCCTCCAAATGCAAAGGTTTCTTTCAAGATTAGCAGTGACAACGCACTGCATTGAGTATTGGTCTAAAGTGGGTAATCGCCTTCGACCACCGGTGCCTTCGAAGCTCAGTTCACATCTGTTTGGAATACAGCATAAGCGGTGAGCGTGTTCACTGTCTTGTTTAAGACACATGGAGAGCAAGTGAAGCACGTAGCAATCAGCATGCGCCAATGACTGGCTGATTTGTTACGCATGTCAACACCTCATTATGTCGCCGCCGGAACGCGTTGTTTGCGCGAACGTGGTTTAGATGGACGACGAAGGGGAGTGGCCAAACAATGACTTGGTCAGAAGGATTGCAGGCTCTCAGTTCGAATTTGAGCACCCATCTTCATGGTTTGTACCAGAGGGAAGATAAACGCGTTTGGTTGGAGACAATTGTTGACATGGCATCCAGCCGAAATCAATGGTGTTTGTGCCCTGAGTTCCTTTGCTTAGCCTTCCCCTCCAATAACGAACTCACTACTAATACATAATATGAACAAAAAACACATAATAATACACGCTTTGTGTTTTCGCGCGTTCCAGTTTCTCTCATGAATATGTGCTTGGAGTGCATTGTGGTGCAATAGTTGTGTTCCTCACATTTGACTAACGCGTGTAATGATGGTGATAATGACGCTGTTGCAGCAAACCACATTCCTGGTTGAAGAAGCAGGTAATTGTTAGACCATGTAAAGCCCATATCCGGTGGAGTTGTATAGTAACGCTGTAGACAGCCAGAACTTGTGGAGGTGGGTTTGCCAACATGGCACACGTCCACTTTAAACCCAGTAGTGTTTTCAGTCATGTTACACAGAATATGTCCGGAGCTTTTTGTAGTTAAGCTTTTCTCAATTCGACCAGCGTACTTACTGTCACAAATACAGTCAAAGAGGTGGCAACCTGAGAGTTCCGACTCAGTTGAATCCGACCGTATAACGAGATCGACGGCATACCCACGAGATTCGCTTGGGCCACCATTAACTAGTATCCTCATAGACCAACTGGAAAATGTCAAACTACGTGTCGCACATAGTATACACACATTTATTGTAGTTAAGTGTGCCACACATCAGACGTTGTTGACATTGCACCACAGGTGGTACACTTACTAGACGCGCTGAGCATGAGCCACTAAGCAACCGAATTCATTACTGAATACGAGTCCCGTGGAGTCCTCCATTGCTACGGTAGTAATTTGAGGAGTGTCCAGTTGTCACAAGGAGGGCACGATCATAAATTGTCCCATACTGTTATTACACGACACATACCTGAGTGCCGTAGGTATTTGCTGGTTACAACACAACACTCCGAACCATAATGGTGGAATCAAATACCTACTGCGTGTCGAAGACTTAAAGCAACATTGAATGAAGTGCAATACTGCTCAACAGAGCACTTTTGAACGAGACAGAGTTCACCATCACCGATGGATCAAAACATGGCCAGCGTGTGGCAACTAGTAGTTACATTTCACTGACAGAAAGGAGAAAGGTATCTTTTCGGTCTGTTGAATATTAACATAAGTCAGCAAGTGCGATCGAAGCGATCTTTAGCTTAGCACCTATGGAACTATTCTCCTGATGCATATGCGTTCATAATAGACACGGTGAGATTATTATTATCAACCACCACCTTGGTGAATGAGAAGTCTTGGTTACTCCAAAGTCCACATCTCTGTTTTGCTTAATCGGAATGCTGCGGCTACATAAGACTGACAATCAAACATTCATCTTTCGTCTACACACTTATCACTCCTTGATTCGAATAACGAGGCCAAAGGAACGTGGCTATAGGGAAGAAAAGCCTTTGAAACTCTGGCTCACGATGGCAAAGAAGCTTGGTAGCGTGGATCGTAGGCCCACAGCTTTGAGGAGATTAACACGAAAACTTGTTCGTATTGCACAAAACAGAATTGAGTGGAGCAATGCTACGTCTAATCCACTTAAAAGGAAGGAGTGTACTGAGAAATTTCAATTACCCCTCCGTCGTACTTCAGCATCGGTGATTCGATCCCCCGTGTTTTGGTTGCAAGAATACTTAATTTAGCCCTTTGATGTATTACAACTGGTAATCACAGAGCAAAACCGTCACTATAAAGAAATGGATCTTTTTATTAAGCGTTGGTTATTCATCGCTATCTTTGTTTATTTTTTTTCTCGGAACAACTTAATGGCAAATTGGTTACCTTCCGTCTGCTAGATCAAATATACGACTTAATATCAGATTAGTGAAAGATACATACCCTGGAGGAAACTGTTCATGAGACACGCATTTCCAGTGCTCTCTAATTCAATTAGGGTATCGGAACCATCTTGCATAATATTCTTTACAGGGGAGGAGAGTCCATTTTTCATCAGCTGTCTTTGAACTTCAGCTGACGTCTGCATGTGTGTCCTCGAGGTGAATACTTGGTTCTGGTCGACAATTGTCTCCTCAGTTGTTATCCGGTGGGACACGGTACTATCCACACTGTGCATAGATAAACAAGTAAATATTACGTGTGCGAGAGTGTACCTCAAGGAAGTGACTATAGCTACGACGCTGGGCCACTACTAGGTATAGTCTATGAAACCAGCTACATGAACTGAAGGATGGCTGAATAATCTATCAATGTGTGTGTGTATCAGTTGAACATAAAAATCAACCAAGCAAACCAGCATCGTTTTGTGTAGGAATGAGGATTGCCTGACGCGAATAAATGCCAATTCTGTAAACCAAATGCTATGAGAGACGCAAGTATATTTACATATGCAACATGGGCTAACTCTAAAATATAAACTGACTACATTACAGAAGACCATCCCGCAACCACTACTGCACTGGACCAACTCATTAATTGGGGCATTGCTCGTAGAATAGACAAGACAAAGAAACCAAAACAGTGCGATATTCATTAGTTGGTAAAGCCAGAAATGAGGAGTAATCCTGATTCTAATTGTACGTATAGAATTTGACCGAGTAATTGGCTGACTGATTGGCGTAGTAACTTGGACCTTCATTACCTGGACTAAAATGGCAGTGTAAATTCAAAAAAACCAATGGACATGTTTAACTGGGCATTGTACCATAACGCTCTATGTGACTACACACATCTGGTTTTCTAATATGTGTACCAAATCCGACCAGCTGACACATTGGTAAGGGTTGCTGGCAATGATACGGGGTAAACATACTTTCTACCACTGATTACAGCAGCTTCTGGTCCAAGCAGGAGATTCCGGTTTTTCGGCACCCCGGCCTCCTTTGGGTTTGTGTCGGAATTCACTAGCGTTGGCCGGAGGGAACAGACAGCAAAAGATGCACGCGACACTGTTATAACACCAGGAGTCCGGAGTCCAGCCGCTGCGGATTGCTTCCCTGAATCGGGGGGCACGCACACTCGTCGCAACGGAGTAGTGGTAATTGGTGCCGATGACGACGGAACAGACAGTTGGTGTTCAAAATGCTCCACCATCCGTGCTACCCGGCTTGCCTGTGAACCGAGACAAAATGGACAGGTATTAGTCTAGTATTTTTCGGCACTAACCGTGGCAGGACGGATGAGTTCGCAGAATGCGGACAGATTTGTTCAGCGCACTCACTTTGCTGACCTTGACTAAAGCTTCAAACTCGACGGCTATCTAAGGTGAAGCTAGCTTGAGGGAATGTCTACATAATTCACGATATTCGATAGCAAGATGTATTAATTGAACCTTTAGAAACTATCCAAATATACAGCATTAGAAATTGAACCAGAAATCTGAGTAGCACTAGTGGGTAGGCTTCTGGTAGGGACAGGCATCAGTACTTGGAAACAGCTGATCACATGTAGACCATTACATCAATTCCTCTAGACTAGGACACTGTAAATTAGAGAACTTTGCTGCTTTCTACAGGTTCGGTGGTGTCATATACCTGTCGGTTAGTAGAGCAACGGTGAGTCCATGACCAGATATCTCATGATGCAACAACAGGAGCAAAGTCACAATGCAAAATGACTTCTCATTAGAGGTCAAAAAGGGCGCACGTACTGGCTTCATTTGTGACAAAAAGACTTGGCCATCAACTCGGCAATATTCATCCGCTTCGGGGTTGACCGTTTTTACTTTGCGATTATTCACTGTAGGCTGAGATAACGGGACACGTGCTGTGAGTGCGTTCTTTGCCAAATGGGTCACGTTCCATGCAGAAGTAGGAGGAGACTGCAATGGGGCTAGATCTTTCACAGCGCGGGGGATTTCTCGCTGAAACGTACACCATTTCGATGGCCTTCGGGTGCTCGGTTGATAAGCAAAAGTTAGTGTGGGGCAACTACAGCAACGTCGCATTTTGCGTTCCCACGTTCGTCCGCGGTGTGCATTCGTGACTTCCCAGGGCATTCCAGTGGGTGAATTCCACCGATCACTCCTCGTTAGTCGATTACGTCGACTGAGCAGGCTTGCACAACGAATCAAATCCGGTTTACCAGTTACCTCACTGTACTGCGTTCTAGTCAATGGCAACCGGGTGATGTGAGAGGCGGGTTTCACGGGCGTACATTGAGTACTTGAAGGGAAAATAAGCAAAAGCTGGCTTTTCGCGCATATATATAAACTATGGATAAATCGCGATGCATGAGCAATTCGTATCCATTGTAACCAAGCAAATTTTGGCGAAATTTTGTGCTTTTCAATCTTTGGAAGCAAATGAACTGCATGAGTACACCGTCCATTTACGTTACTCATCCGTAAATTTGATCACCACGAACCTGCCATAGGTGCATGGTGTGATAGACGATAAACCATTACCACTTTAGATTTGGCGTTCTAAAATACATTGGACGTTTTGCAAAACAAATCAGACCTTTTGCAAAATACCTTCGAGGATTTGCAAATCACTTTGGACGTTTTGCAAAGCAAGTCGGACAATTTGTAAATCGAACTGAATACCTTGCATTCTAAGCAGAAAAGTAGTGATGTGTTAGCAAGAAATGAGGAGTAAGGTGACTCGACGATATTCATTGTAGTCATCCAAATGCAACCGAATTAGGTAACCAGCGAGTGCCACTGCAAACCCTTCTCTCGATCATGATCGTCGATCACCTCGATCAAAGGCGGTGACTGAGTGTCTTCCTCCCGGCATCCACCTTGGCGTAGTTCATGTGTCTGTGAATTCACGCATGAACATGTGTAGCTGTGCGACCATTGGAAGGTCAGAGTCCCATCTGGTGTAGTCTATTACGTCTTAAACAAAGGTTATTTAGCTTTAGAGGGTTATTGTGAAGTACTCGTTTTGTGAATGGATTGTGGTGCGCAATCTCAAGGTGGATCACGATTCCCACTGAGGTAAACCTTTGCCAACTCGATCACTGGGACCGTAAGTTATGAAGCCGATAGGCGGCGACCCAGTAGTTCGCTGTTACTCTATGGCCATTCGCGTATTTGCTGTGGGTGTGTGGACGAACCTATACAGGTGCACAACTATTGGAACGGTGTAAGCTATCATTAACTCCACCAAAGCCCGCCTAGTTTGCTTAACTGTGTACTGCACGAAACTACCGAAATGTTCGACTAGCGACCAGTAAAAGCGTCTCCGAGACGGCGGCGATGCAAGCGTATGTCATAATCACAGCTAGATTTTCTCCCTAATCCTGTGCTTTTCGATAAAGAAACCAAACACGAAGCTGCTGAACTCGCCGATTTCATCGAGAGCACTGAAAGAAACATTGTCATTGCGTACATGAAAGAAGGCACGAATACTCAGCACGAATGTGGACGGAATAAGACCGAGAAGCTGACTGCTGATGTAATGCACTGCGTCGATGAGGCAGCTGAACGGTATTCCGAGGACACGCTGGTGCGACTGAAGCAGCGAAAACGCGATCCATCTATCCTCATCTACTGCCTTCGTTTTATTAACCCTGTGCACCACAAAACGATCAAACGGGGCGACGAACGACATTCACCCACTGCTTGCACAGTTCTGTTCCATTCACATAGGCACAATGTGTTCTGAACATTGCCCGGCAGCCTTACACCCTTGTTCTTGATGAAAAATTTCCGCAGTAAGTCAATAAGGCTACCCTTGATTTGGAAGAGTCATGATAGCTTACACCGTTCCAATAGTTGTGCACCTGTATAGGTTCATCCACACACCCACAGCAAATACGCGAATGGCCATAGAGTAACAGCGAACTACTGGGTCGCCGCCTATCGGCTTCATAACTTACGGTCCCAGTGATCGAGTTGGCCAAGGTTTACCTCAGTGGGAATCGTGATCCACCTTGAGATTGCGCACCACAACCCATTCACAAAACGAGTACTTCACAATGACCCTCTAAAGCTAAATAACCTTTGCTTAAGACGTAATAGACTACACCAGATGGGACTCTGACCTTCCAATGGGCGCACAGCTACACATGTTCATGCGTGAATTCACAGACACATGAACTACGCCAAGGTGGATGCCGGAAGTAAGACACTCAGTCACCGCCTTTGATCGAGGTGATCGACGATCATGATCGAGAGAAGGGTTTGCAGTGGCACTCGCTGGTTACCTAATTCGGTTGCATTTGGATGACTACAATGAATATCGTCGAGTCACCTTACTTCTCATTTCTTGCTAACACATCACTACTTTTCTGCTTAGAATGCAAGGTATCCAGTTCGATTTACAAATTGTCCAATTTGCTTTGCAAAACGTCCAAAGTGATTGCGAAACGTCGGATATGGTTTGCAAAACGTCCAATATAAAGTGAAATTGGTATAACAATTGCAGCTACTGACGGACACTATGTTGGTCTTTCCAACACAGACTCCGGTACATTTTACGCCAATCCTCTAAGCTCAGCGCCATAGTGATGACCTCGACAATTCTCATTCTGAACGAAATACGACACATGAAACGTTTCTGTATGATCAATTTGTTTTGTATATAAGGGAATGAAAATGCACTTGTCCAAAGTTTGTCTATTTTACTTCGGCTAGTCGTCTTGACGCTTATTTGAAGAGGCTGAAGCATAATGCATCAAAACCTCGTGTTCGTTAGTTCGGGAGCTCGCACGTAGATAGGGCTCTACACTGCTCCACCTACGGGAGTTGATGACAGTACGATTAACTCTCTCACACTGTGACGGCTACTGTCCGAATAACTTCCACCAGTAAAATTGGCCTGCACTGGATTTCACAACGTCGCAAGTCTCCTGACGTGACTTGACGCTGTCAACAGCGGACTACCCGTGTCACGTAAGTGGAACGGTCACAATAGAATTCCACCATTGTTCAGTTCATTTCCAGGTCTGGAAACATGCTACAGCCTATATACATTACAGCCGAAATCAGCAGTCCTCTAATCTTCGAAAGGTGAATTAAAACTGGGTCAGCGACTCTGCCATTTGCCACTTCGAGGGAAGTACAGAACCTGTCACCGTAGCTATAAATAGTTAGACAGTTGTCGTCTGTTCAACCTGAATGTGAAAGGTCATTCCATCTTCTCGAGATCTGACAACGACGCTATACGCCGCTACCCGCTGGGAACCTATATCCAGCCACTCTGCTGTCCTTATTGCCGGTAAAGCGGACACAAGTCGCTGGCATGACCACCGCACTACGTTACAGTGCGCACATGCTGCTTTGCATTCCATCATATTACTGGCACATCGGCACTGTGGGATATATGTTGCGAATTCAAAGTTGGTGAATCTGTCGCAATTGGTGCATATGACATCCGTCACCACGTACGTGTTGAGAGTTTGCCTATAACGAACTGAGAAATTTTTACTTGAGGTAGTGGTAGCGATTACTAAAAGGTATGCCACTGCCGACAAACAGTTTGTGGTCTTCCTACGCCTGAAGTGAAGCAACGCGCTGCTAATGTGTACATTTACAACAAATGGAAACACAACCTTTGAAAGCAGCCTGTTTGCTTATTTTCTTTTTTCGAGCTATTGTAAGTCAAAATACTGTTTCCGTTGGCGTTTTGAGAAGTTATTTAGGAATTCCCAGGGTGTAATTTGTTCACGATACTGTATCTTCATTAAAATTCCAAACTAACGGAAGATCCGTTGGTGGTCTGTAAATGCATCGAATTGTTTCATCGAGCTCCAGTATGCCAGATAAGTGCGATTCCAGGAAAACATAAGCATCTCGTGAATAAATGGAGGTGCGTTGAGATAACAGCAATTTTACTGTGGTTTGAATGATCTAAGTTGCTTCTGATGCACAACCATATACAATGACCAGTTATGAGATACGAAACAAAAAAGACCCCGCTCATTGCTTATGATTACTGGCTCCCCTGTTTGAGAAGCGATGCTCACTGAGTGCTGCTCATATGTAATGAGCGCGCCGAGTGAGTACTACTGAATCTCCCTAGTCGGTGTTCGGCACCAGGCCCTCGGTGCCGTACGAAAGTGTCACCTGGATGCGAATCGTCCACATTGGCCAGGCCTTGTCCGTTGTGAGCTGGTTGAGCACCCACATTAGTGCGCATTCTTTCTTGACGTTGTGCGTTCTGGTTGAGGCTGAAGAATGGTTAACCAAGGTCTCGATGATGCGCGACGTGGTTGTTGAATCAACCGTGTTGCAGTTGTTCTTGCTTTGCATTCACTAATTCTGACTATTCGTCTGATGATCTTAGCGAGTTTACCCGTACTCCAACTGTCCTTTATCTGCCTCCTTTTCACTCTTTCACCCAAATTTGGTTTCTCACTAGTATGATTTCGGCGCAGGTAAGCGTGACTCAGTTCACGACACCTGTGCTGCGAACTGAATGCGCTTGATACTCTCTGAAGACGGAAACATCTTCAGAAGGCTTTTCCAGATTGGTGGTTAGTTTATCGTGCTCGTGAACTACCGGAAGGAACTAGGACAATTTTTAGAACGCTCGTAAAGTGTCCAGTTATCTGGTCAAGTATTTTTAAGTAAATCACTTGAATGAAATTCACACTTGTTTCGAGAGAATCTAAATAGTACCTTAGCGATTGTAAATCACTTATTTCTACGAAGAGAATTTCTCAGTTTTTTCACGGGCATCTTGCGTTGGGGTTTAAATTCGGCATGCGAAAGATCAACTACGAACGTATGCAAGAAATTGGGACTGCTTTGCTTAATTCCATAACGCATGCCTTCGATCCAATCCTTGATAGGTTCACGTAAGATGAATTTTATTGGAAAAGGGACAAACAAACTCACATTTTTCTGGAAGAAAATGTATAATAATGCTGAACTCACTGCAAATATCCACCGTTGTAACCACATTCATCCCCAAGATGTCTGGACATTGACGTCGGCTGAGAAACATTATGCAAAACATTTGATGAATCGCTTTCTTTCCGTTTGCCGGCCAACCGAGCAAACCGCCAATATGGGGCGCAAGGAGTTCGCCAAGGAGCTACAACGGGAGGTACCTCTACACCCTCCGGGACTCGTGGTACGGCTGCCAGTTGAACGTACTCAGAACGCGAGAGTGTTCCGTTTCTTATTGTGGAGTGCGGCTTTCTGTGAACCACGGGTTCTTCACTCCTTGACCAATCCGGATTTTTAAAAGATGTCGGGTTGTGGGCGCATTGATTCGAAGGGGAAAATTGTTCGCATGGAAATTTGGAGGATTGTCCCTCCAGCAATTTCTGTTTGATCCAGTTACTTACCATTGGATAGATTCTGGCTAATTTTGAGGACATTCGCATGTGTTCCCCGTTTCCTAAATAAAGAACAATCATCAACCTAGTGAAACACTTTAGACAGTTGTGTCTGTACTACTGAAGCTGTGCGCTGCGAGTATTCAAAGTAGCAAGAGAATCTATGGCATGCCGAAAAACTGTCCTGTTTAAAATTTGAAATCGCTTTATGTAGCCATAAGAAGAGGTTTTTGTTACAAAAATAGCAAATTACAAATGTTTCACAAGTATGAGAGATGATCATCAGGATAACAACTGAAAGCTTGCAGAACCACAGAATTTCTTAGCTGAGGACAATAGGTTTCTATGCAGATATTGAGGCATTCAGGACCCATATTAAATCGTTTGTACGTTCTACCATCTAAGGCTTTGGCGTGAGCGTTAGATACAGCAACTGCTCAAGGATCCAGATGGAACAACAAGACGATTGTCCTCACCTTGGTTTTCTACAGGTTTTCCAGTTTCGACCGTTCCACCAGGGCGCTGCTGTGGTCCGACATTCGCGACCAGTTCATGTGGTTTCTGATTTTTGGTTTTATCCATATGGCTTGGTGATGAGTAACTGCCAGTGAGGTTACTCCAGTCGTGATTGTCATCCCATCGATAAGTATCGCAATTTACATTTGGATATGTCGAGGAACAAGAAGGGGATCTGGGGAGGCAACAAAAATTACAAACGCGAATACACTTGTGACTATGGACGTTACCAATTATGACCAAATGCATCTTGCAGCGCATAAATTTCTGATCGCTGAAGTACAGCCGTCAGTGGATTTCCGGTTGCTTGATTACATCCTATCCAACCTAGAGACCCCCCCCAATGATCGACAGTACCCACTTAATGGTGCCCTGCAATGCCAATGCTTCGTAACTGTTGACACAGCCGAATCATCTTAAAGCAAATACAGAAGCCTCGGGACCACAGTAAGCACCGGTCATTGACGTGGACTTGCAACCAGGTATGTCATACTACAAACAACACCTAACGGCCCAGCTTGTACCTACGTTACTTCTGTGATGATCTTTATTAATGAACTAACTTATCGTACGTTAGGGTCCTTTCGACGGAGTCCGGAAATAGAAACCATTTTCGAGGACAAAGTGAGCGCCTAGTGCTATCTCAGATGCTCAGTGGCTGCAAGAGATGTGATTTAGTGGAACTCTGGTTAACCACTTCGCCGGCAAACACCCGGCGTGATATTTTTGGGAGCACCGAACCAACGGCTTGTTTTGCAGTTGGTGAACGTGTTAACGGAGAAGGCACCTCTGCAGTAGTTCGGCACAGTTGACTATGATGCAGGCCAAAGCTTATTGGTCGACCAATGAGAGCGGGCTAATGATGACGCTTCACCTTGAACGCTGTCAATGAGGATGGTCCACCTTGAAGCCCCCCAGTGATCGCTACGTCAAGCCTTTGTTATGTGTTGATTTGATCCCCTTATTTGATTTACTTATACTGCTTTCCGGGTGCGCAATACATTATTCACCCGAGGCCTTTGTCTTCTAATATGGAGAGTCGGCCGGTCAGGTTGAGTGGTAGTAGCAAGTTATCCGTGCAGTCAGCGGGAACCACAACAGAAAGGTTCATATAGTTTTAGAGAAAAAGCACGGCTACATTTTCGCTTACAAAATTAACTGCTTTTCATATAAACATAGTGATGAAAGATTACATTCTTGCGTTCGACCGGTGGTATCCGCAGCCTTGCTTGTTCATAATGTGACTGTACAGTTCACCGGAATACCGATTAGTAGTGCATCGTGGCTGGACTTGGTGGAAGCTGGAAATTATGATATTTGCTAACCGCTATCATGCATTTAAGGAACTCCAGTCAACGCATCTATGCACAGGCTATTCCTTTATGGTCTCAACGCATATACTACGACCTTTCGAATTACCAGTAACGTTCAAAACGTAAGGTATCCGGAGCCGAACCAGTTCCTGACCGCTTATTTAAGTTCGCCTGTTGTTGTTGTCTTCAGAAGGCGTAGCGGCTGGCTTTCTAGATGTCTATTATTGTCAGTGCAGCTTCTGTCGACTCGTCTCTTAAATGCAGTCTAGGGGGCATTTGACGGTGCGACTGAGTTCCGCAGCCGTCATTGGCATTAACCATTAAGTGCCAGTTTTCGTGTTGGCGGGCTTAGGGTTCAATTCAAGCGGCTAAAATGATCTTCGGAGTGGTCTTCCCGAGATAGCATTTGACACGCACAATCCAAGTGTTTTGGCAGAGACATACTTCAAAGTCAACCAAAGCCACAATTGCGATTGAGTGTCACAATCCAAGACAAACGGTGGGTGTTCCAAAACTCGAAAAGCAAGTTATAACCGCTAAGCTAAGCACTGCTCGCGGAGCTCAATAGTCTAGTGATCATGGCGATAGCCTCCGAGCACAAAACGCTGAGTTCCACTCCCAGCTCCGCTATCCCTAGCTGATGGGTCCAAACAAGGACAAAACCATCAGTCCTGGAGCTCAGGGATGGGAGGGAGCCACACCGAGACCCTGCGCTTCGGTGACGGTTCCAGTGATTGCATCGGCAGAGACTGAGTTTAAAAGCCACCGAAGCCACAATTGTGGTTGCGTGTCTCAACGCAAGACAAGGCGGGTGCTCTAAAACCCAAAACTCACATACTTTGTGGATTATTTTCCTCTCCCGATTCCTCAGTACTGACGATTTACCCACGCGTTCCTGAGTGGTAGTAGCCTGTAATATGCGTAAGTGGGGCAAGGTTGCAATGTTGCCTTCACCTTCCAGCACGAGCACTCCTTGTGGTGTGGGGACCCTGGACGATCTTGGCACAGTTCATAAGTTCGCTTCAAGTTTATACGTGGAATGGAGGAAAGCAATGCGCTAGTTCCGTGTTCGCTTCATCCTTCCGCTTTCGAGCAGTTGTCAGATGACAGTATTGGGTGTTGACGTAATACACTTAGGTGACTTCCGTTAGCTATAAGCATTTACGGCCAACCATCCGAGACAGCACAACCCGTATTAGTGCTCACTTAAATCACAGATAGTGGTACCCACATCACTAATGCAATCATCCATATGCGCAGCACTGCTATACATATGACAGTAAAAAGCAATGTACATAACGTTAATTATCTGGCAGTAAAGGGCATACGAACATACCTGAAAGAATTCCGCGTGTATCGGGAGAAATCAATTACATCGGGAGAATGTCCATTAGCCGGTTTATTTGAAGATGTGGCATCTGGAACACCACGTGACGAAAGCACATGGGTAGTATTTTCACTGTCACTTTTTGACAACGCAGAGTTGTTCTCGTTTCCCCCGTTCAGTCCCTTCGGGTGTGTCTGTTGGTTCCCTTGATAGGATTTACGACGGGTCACATAACATCGCCTCGATTCCGGTGACTTTGAGCTCGTATCTCGCGAAAATGCGGACCCTTTTGGTGATACATGCGACTGTACAAACAAACCGTCAGGAGCATAACAAGTTAGGGAGAACAAAAGTCCCTATTTATGTTAAAACAGCATACCGTCATGGGTCATAATGAAAGCTCTCAGCCTATTACTGAGCTATTTTCATCTAACTAATAATAAATTAATCGTCAGATCTACACCGTAACAGGGCCACGCGGCCACGCGACCACCCCAAGTCGCGTGTGGACTGGGTTTACCGCGAGGATGCCCGACCCTACACAAATTCGAACCAGGCTTGCAGACCATTAGACCACCAGTCGGTAAGGTAACAACCCGTTTTCCATTATACTTATCAAGTGATACATCTGCAAAACCTAAATCTCTGAGTGTTGGTGAGTTTCAGGTGAGCTTTTTTGCCTTTTCGAGAATATTCGTCGAGCTTACATGCAGCCTGACAGCTACCAAGCATCCAGGAAAGCGCTAGAAGACCGTTTTATCTTATTGTGACTGTTCGGTAGTGAGCATCTGCCGGGTCCAAACCCATGAACTTACTCTTACCAGTCAACGACTTATGCCACTTAACCATAAGTGACGACGACACACCAACAAGCCTGATTTCCAACTGCGATACAGTGCGGCTCATCCTCCACTGTCATGCATGTTGTGAACGTGCAGAGGACAGGGCTGGCCCCCAGAGTTACGATTTCTTTTGCAAGTAATCACCAATCGCGTTGGCATGTAAGCTACGAAGGCATATGTGGCATAAGTCGCTGGGTTCGAATTCGCTTGGATGCTGTTGACACGCGCTACTGACGAGCCCCAATAAGACAAAACGGTATTCTAGCATTTTCCTAGATGTGTGGTGGCTGTTTGCCTGACTACGATGATTCTTCTGAAGCCAACGAGTACTGTTTTGATTTCTTTACGAGGAAAATGCAAGTAATCCTTGGTCATCGGCAGCTGAACAATGGAAGAAAACTGGTATCCCCACGGCGGTAGAAGTGCTTTCATGCATTTTACACAGAAGCAAAAGATTACTTATTATGGATAGGAGTCCTCAGTGAAAGAACTTAAACGAACACATCCGTATTGCGAGCATTTATCAAGCGCAAGTGCGTTGGTCGAGAGTAACTGACGTAGTATTTCATTATGACAGTTACTACTAAGCAAAGTAAAGTAGTTTCATTTCTCAGGAAAACGCCAAAAGGTTATGTCAACCTGCCACACTAATTCAGTGTTGGGTAGTGGTACATCATACCGCAAACAACTCCGATTTTCTCTACTTTGTTAGAAGAGAGATGCATCACCAATTAGCAAACAAAATTAAGGAAAAGTTAGCTCACTTTTTGCAGACTGGTCAGTTGATAGCGTCGGTCTCCTTCGCCTTGCCCATCTGTACCGATCTCATTTCCATGCCTACACAGGCGCAGAGGACAAGGCAGTGTATTTGCTACGGACGGTTTTGGGAACTTCATTTGATCGTATTCGCTCTGTAAGGAAAGCAAGGCCACTTTATAGCGTAAGTGTGGCATTTAAATCACTCTGTGCAACTGACTTACAGTCGCAAGGACTGTTAAACAACAAGTTGGATACTCTCGTGGAATGGTGATACAGTTAATGGCTCCTTTAAGAAGATAGCTTTTGAACCGCACTAGTACATTATACGGTGATTAACTCAACTGCGAGAAGAAACATTTGTTTCCGACAGTCACTTGATCGAATTGTAACGCCCTCATTCGATTTCAGTCAAAACCTACTCTGCAGCGACCATTATCATCACTAATACAACTATTACAAGACCTGTGAACAAATGAAAGGGTTAACTGCTGAATGCTGCCTTCTCGCAACGCTACAGCTCACATTTAGCTTTATACTTGCTTGTAATCCCCAAGCAGAGGACCGCAAGACATTGGGAAGCCAACCGAAGCCACCTACTCCTAAGGCAACCGAGTCGCAGTGGGCAATGCTTGTCACAACGTTCAGTTACCAATCAAAGCGGTCATTTTGAGGCACTGCGTATTCGAATGGATGGAGATAAAAATAACCAGGACCATTGCACACATTGTAGTCAATTTCAGTCACCTCAGCCACTGGGATAGCATCTGCGGCAAGAGAATGGTGGATAAGACAGTTCCGAGGAAGTGGCTATGCATTGTACCGACAGTGGGTCCACAGATCGCGTATTGAAGACCCAACTAGCGGATAGTTTTATGGGCTGTTCACCGCAGCAGAATTAAACACGAAGCTGACGGTGAAGCTGGCTGTGAAACTGTCGGAGTTGACTGGTGTGCTAACCTCTTGTCAGAGCAATCAGTGTCACAACTAGCGGATGTAAACATCCTTTCAATGGAATGCTGCTAGCCGCAGCCCGGTGGATACCTCCTTGATATGGTCATGAACAAGCCGTTCAGATGAATTTACCGTGTGTAGCTTGTTACTGGTAAGTACAACCGTTTCATCGAAACTCCCTAGTTCTTGTGTGTCTGTATCCGAGGTTTCTTACAGGACTTGCCCTTGAAAATTTCAGTAAAGCAAGAAGAAACCACATTTCGACAAAACGCTTCGAATAATCTAAAACGTTGTTTCCTCTTCTACGGAACCAGACAATTGTGTGAACTTCGTTAATAGCAGAGGAGAATACCCAAAATACCTGAATTAACTTGAAATTTCGAACGTATAAAATACCGTCCTAAGCCAAGACAAGGCTGGTCACTAACTTCGCTTGCACAACTTGGATTTCAGCCGCCGAATCGCTCAAGCTTCGGCATAACAGTAGCAGGCGAATATTGCCCCGTCGGTTAGCTACGCTAGATATTTCGCGGTAGATTTTCAAATGCAAGACAATATAGGATGTATTGAGCAATAAAGTCAGCCTGCAGCTTGCGACCCCTCTAGAGTACATTACGTGGAATGTGTTCCGTTCATGTATCCAGACATGGAAGGCACTTCCGAATTCCGCCATATCCGTGTATACATTAGCTGAATTCAAAATCGCAACACCTACTTTAGTTGATCTAACGCAAAAGAATAATGTAGGCAACTCGTGGGCACACGTGAATCTTAAGAAGTGTCAACGGACAAGCTTTAAATTTTCCTTGATACACTCGCTTTTTGCTTTCGCTCTTAACCTAAGGGACTTGCTGAACCTTTGCAGTTTTCCTGCACTAAATCCACCGTTTCATCTATTTTGTCATTGAAAAGTAAATGTTAGCCAAATATAGTCGTGGCAGATGGAACGCGTCCTAATTTTACTTAATTTTCTCTCGTTATCTTGTTGTTTGACATGGACCAATACCCGCTTCATAGGACGGAGATGTTTCAGAACGCACGACCGACCATCTGATTTCGAAACTGGCCACGAAGAACCTCACTTAATTTAGATGGTAGTTTTCTGTCTACATTCGAAAGGTCCCTCTGCTATCCGCCCATTCTCAACCCCGTCAACATCGATGGACCAACGCGTTACTACGCAGTAGCTCAAGAATTTGCTCCCCTGAGCATCCAGAGCACTCGTCACATCAACGTGGGGGGGGGGGGCAACAAGCTCAGACTGCTGCCCTAACCGTGCAAATCGACTGTGTTGACTTGGCTGATCGCATGTCTAACTGAATTGACTAGCTTTTCGGTTGAACTTTACTCAGTCGTGTGGACACTGAGTATGGAGTCATACCAACGGCGGAACCGTGTGAGGTGAAAGGTCATGAATGAAACCGCATTGCATTGCACACGGTGGCAACGTGCAGCTTATCCACAAATCACCTGATCACACCCACAGCTAATCGGTAACAACAGTTGAAGCTAATAGCCTTAACTGTGGTCCCAGGCTGAATCAGCTCGCAGTGCATGCCCTGCCCGAAATGAGACCTGCTGTAAGGCATCTCAAAACTAAGCGCATCTGCTTATAGTTGATGAGTTCAAGAAGTGACATTTCACGACTACGAGGCCACAATGATTGCTGAAAGTTTGAGAGTCAATTGGGGGAGAAAAAGCCTGATGCAAAGCATCTTTTGAAATCTTATGACATTCAGCAAATACATCAAACTGAGGACCATCCAAGGGACGCATGGGTACATCGGTTGTCATATATGGTTGGTGGCATCCAGGTTCGGATTTGCCTGTCATTGTGGCCAGCCACAGGACGCCTGCGCCTACAGAGGGACCAGGGATGGCTTGCGCTGCACCACCCACAGCTCCAACCACACACCTCATATCCAGTGTAAACCCGAAGGAATAAGACCGGGAGGTATGCGGATGGGAACTACGTTTCATCAACGGAGCCGGCCCACACTCCTCCACAGACAAACACAAGCACGCTGTATTTGGGGAATTAAGTGCACACAAGGCGGTAGCTGGACCGTAGTACGCTCCACACTGAGTGCATGGAACCACTCTTCGAGCCTAGCACGACCACAAGGACCGTGCACCCCGTCCCCTCCAGCAACGACCAACTGTCTCCTGGAGCCAGTATGGACGAGGTAGTGCGCAATGGACAGGTAAGCACATTGTCAACATGCACATCAAGCGCAGCCACACCGGGGATGTCAAACAACAGCCAATCATTCAAAATGCCGATATCGAATAAAGTAAACGCATATGACGACATAAATACTCGCTAAAGTGGCATATAGAAGAAATTGCTTAAAAGTGAATACGCGATAAGAACAAAATGTCCGAAAGTTATTTAAAAAATACCACGCGATAAAATTACACAAGTTTATCACAATTTGCATGAGCGACATGTGCAAGTTGGGAGCAGTTTGTCAAGTACGCAGAACAAACCAAGTAAAATGTAACGAATTTTATCCACATTAAAACGACCTAGTTTAAGTGTAAGTTGGTTTAGCCCAACTGCGGTGAAGAAGCATCATAAATGCAACATCAGCCTCAGCATGGGGCACGGTTGTCATATATATATATATATATATATATATATATATATATATATATATATATATATATATATATATATATATATATATATATATATATATATATATATGCTGTTCTCAAGCGCGACTGTGTTGCAGCTTCCGCTCCTTTAACAGGTACGCGATAATGAGACCATTCAGAGCGGCTTACAAATCCTTCCACAAGTCGTATGAAGTACGTGGTGATCGTCACGATTCAAAGCGACTGTAACTGCCTCAAGCAGCTTCTAGACAGATGACAACGAGTCATCTGAATCCCAACGGTAGCTGCAGGATTGAACATTTTCCAGGGCACTTTAATGAGAGTGGACCGTGAAATCATCTAAGAAGGAATAACCAATGTTTATATATATTAAGTGTCACCTGCATGTAACAATGCGTTCCACGATGGGTTTCAGGCTGTATACACTCACCAGGTAGGCGCAACTGGACTGCGAAGCGAAGCGGGAGTTTGGGTCCACCGGCCGATATCCAAATCTGTAATGTGCTTAGTTGTGGGTAATTCATTTATTGACTAATACGGTCTTCATGTTGAAGTACCCATTATTCAAGTGGCCGGAATGACAGCGATTCAAGATAACCTCCTAAATAACCGCAGTTGGTGTTTATAAGGCTACCTGCAGTAAAGCATGCTGTTTCATCGGATACTCGAATATTCATTGTTCAAGTGAGGTAACCTCAGGAAATAGGATGAGTGAGCACACCTCAGCGAGCAGTATAGGTTGATTTTGGAGCCGCTACATTAAAATGTGTTTTCCTTGCGTTTACTTAAAGTCAACAAGTAAGACAGCAAGAAGAAACTTAGATTATGGCTTATATTCTTTTCAGCGACTGCAGGTTGTTTTCCGGCAACAACAAGTCTCGTGAGATAGGGTTGAACACGATCCATTGTTAATGTGGGACAAGGAATTGCCGTGTGTGACATTGTTTTCATTGATCACATTGGATAGAGAAATTATTTCTAGTGATCCGAATCGTCTATGTCGTCCACTTCTAACGGTGCCCGATGTGCAGGAACCCGACAAAATCATCTGGAGATCTGCTCAAAGAGCTGGATGGACTGTCTGTGATGTGCGGGGTGGCGTCGAAGGGTCATATGCACTGTCTAGTAACTTAATCCTCAGCTGTCAAGTTTGAAGCTTTCCCATAACGTACAGAGTGATGGTAGAAGAAAAAGGCCTCCGTTTGATCCCAGTGATTCCCGTTTAATGAGCGCAGGCGAAGAGGTAAGGTCTAGTGTCCTACATTCACAAGCCTACAACATCATTGCGGTTGAATGAATGTGCGCATCCAACCAGGAAGTTGGTGCTCAGCACCCATGAACGTTAGCTAGTTGGCAACCATAGAGATCGACTCACAGTTCTCACTTACCCAGAACAGGTGTATGAGCAACCTGTGAAACTGCTTTAACGGAAGCCGCTCCTCCGGGCGATGCTTGAGTGCGGCTTCCAATACCATTCTTGGATTTTTCACGTACGTCGGCTGATCTGCGTAACTCTCAACACAGTCTGGCAGGTCATATTGCGTTGAAGGTAGGAGGTACTTTACCACCTTGGCCAGGCTATACACATCCGAGGTGTAGCACGGCGTCTGATGGGTGATCTCCTCTGGAACTGGCACAGCGCCAGTGGATTCCGCGCCACAGTGTGGATTCGCTGGACAAGGGAACAGTTCCGGGGGTAGCCAATCAGCCAAATGGTCCGGTGGCAACAATCGAGCACAATGATACAAGTCAGCTGAGGTGAAACGAAAAGGTTCCTCGTCTAGCATGCGTCTTACCGTGGACCGAACGCCGCTGTTGTGAATAGACGTCCACGATGTATCACTAATAAGGGGAGAAAGTGGAGGTGGCTTTAACCAGTTTCGATCAGTTTAATAAAGCGACATGTTATTGTGGGTGGCAATGAAGTGGACAATCGTGCAATCAACAAACGCTCTCCTAACCTATGCATGTTAGTGAATAAAAATCCCATTAAATTGCAACAATTATATACCGGTTACCTTGCCGAGATATTTCACACGTCTCACAAGAATCAATCGTGACTCCCTCTTTTTTCCCGGTACCCCCAGTTGGAAGACAATATGATTTACGAAAGAAGTTAGAGATTCACCACTGTTTTATACATAGTCAGTAAAAGGTCGTAAAGAGCGCAAGGGTCGCAAGAAGCGCCTAGGCCCAGCCAGCGTACACCGTACAGCTTGTGTCTGTTGGCTGCCGAATCGAAACAGCAGCTTACTCACTTTATCCACACAGCAACTTAAACACGTCGGCCAGGCGCAGCCAAATCGGTGGCTCTTACGCTGATGATTGTCTGTTGGTATTTAAATGAAATGCCGCATCAAAGTTCCTTGACCATAGTGGTCCAACGCATCCACATAGCTGCAGAGCATCACTATTGATTAGGAAGGTGCATTACCAGATTACTCCTAAGGGCATTAGTAAAAAGAGTTCTGTGCACCCAAACAACCTAAACCAGAATGATGCTCATGGGGTTTGGCCACCGATGTGAAATATGCATGGCCCATTTGAGTGAAACCGCAAAATAAACTACTGGTCGGTTGGCCGTATGAAGAAGAATTTCCTCCGCTACTGGGTCCTTGAAGGATAAGTTCGTTTTCCCTTTCACCATCGGAAGCCGACAAAGCAAAAGAATCCTAGGGGTACTAAATCATTACAGTGGTCTACAAGCATGGTGATGTAGTTGGCTCAATCGGTTCCCACAGGGGTGCCCGTGCGGTTCACTTGCATTCGTTACCAGACTTGAGCAGTGGTCGACAAGCCAGCTAACAACACCGAAACGGAACTACAAGAATGTATTAGTTAACCCTTTTGCAACCATTTTGTAACCCTTTTCCACCTTCCTTATTCATTTGAAGCTCGCTGTTGGGTCACGAAGGCGCAGATGAAAGCCCCTCATTCGCACAGAGTGTGCAGGCTAATGTCCGCAAATTAGAGCAGTGGTTCGTCATTCGTTATCTGTGAATGGATGTTCAAACAGGGTGGAACGTTAGCGAACCGATTGAGCCATCCGCCTATTTCACTTGCGTCTGCGTTTGATCACCCCAGCGGTCGCTCTTCAAGTTTAGTCTGTCAATTGGTTAACAAGAAAAGCCGAAGGATTAAAACTGAACCGTAGATAAAGGACAAGGTCAACAATTGGAGCGGGACTTAGTCCCTACTTTCAAATGGTTTAAAACAAAGCGACACATTGCTTTCCATTCGCCGAGTGGATTATGGGAAGCGCACCTCGATTGCCGCACGGTAATCTGTGTGGTAAACCACTTTGGTAAGACACTTGTCGCCCTCAGTCAGAACCAACCTGCACCCCTCCCTCATCCGGAAGAAATAGCGGTTCGAAAAACCTCCTGTTTAAAATTTGAACGGCTCACTAGCACTGTCACATAGCTATATCGATCGTTCTTCTGTTCAGTAACAAGAGGCGTGCTTCTGGAGCACCGGCCCCGATGCAGTGAGACCGTCGAGTTCGGCAAATGGTAAATTCAGACAACAAATGGCAATTAAGCAACAATTTGTGAATAAGGTCCCAGTGGCTTATCCTAGGGGTTGTTGAAAACAATTATCCGAAAGTGCTTAAGGCTCAGGCCGAGGCAAACAAGGGCTACAGTGCAACCGCCACTCAGTAAGAGGTGTATGGCAAATGACTCATGGGTCAGCAACATTTGGAAAACTCCAAATATGTCGTCTCACCTTAGGCTGATGGCATATTCGAAGTTCGCCAGCTTCGCATGATCAATCGTGTACAGGTGGATCGAGTGTGGGGTAACGTTGCAATGAACGAGTCCGAACGACTGAATAAACTGCAGAGCCTCGGCGACCTGGCGGCACACGGTCAGGGCGGATAGAATTGGGATTTCTTCCAACTGAAAATTGCAACGGTGCATTAAGCAGGAGTGTCGTGTGTGGAGACAGAGAGTGGGTCAGTACTTTAGGCTAATTTAACTGCAAACGAATGATTGTGCAGTAACAGGATTTAACTACCACACCGACTCTTCTCATGATCTGCTCAGCCCAATTGAGTGGAGATTAGCGCAATGAGGTTAGATCGTCTCGCTCCATGGCCGGGCATTGTCAGTTGGAATCCAATGGATGTGGATAGACAATGCAACACGCAAGTGGACCAGATGAAACAGATAAAATGTAAAAATTGGGAATCTCCTTGAAAATCTACCGCACCTTATTTCTCTGTCAACTGAACGATTCAGCAATGGAAGTATCTCGGTTTTGCTCCCTCCAACACTAACACACCACGACCGATGGTTCTATGCTGATTTAAACTCATCAGGTGGAGACAGCCTGAGATGGGGTGAAACTCGGAGCCTAGTGGTTCACGGCTGACGTCTTGATACAACTTAGTACGTTTCGGCCTTTATAAGCCATGAATGTTGGTTGCCGCCTGCTGGTGACACGTATACGTCGTTGCACTCACCAAACAGAAACAGTAACATTCTGGCTCGAACTGAACGAGAGGCATGCACCACACAGTTTGCGCAAGAATTGTGAAAGGCGATAATTCACGTTGGTCAAAATGCGTGGATTTTAAGTCCCTACTGGTAGATTAAATTTTGCAAATATTTTACCAGAAGAATTGTTGCCACACTTTTCTGACATGGTGGCATCATTCAAGGCCTCGCAGCAAGAGTTTTCCGTAGCAACTTGAACAGTAAGGAAGGTAAGGAAGGTAAGCAAGTTTACAGAAAACGTGTCTACGTAGGTCTCGGAGTCGCAAATCACCTTTTGCTAGCAGGTCAGCGAACAATCAACGCGAAGGAGCTACCCAGTGGACTGAGATATCGCGCCGTAGCCCATTTAAACAACAAGTGCTTAAAGTGACTCCCCAGTTGGGCGTTAACCGTCGCAAGTAGCTTCGTCCTCCGCGAATCGGTGGCATTTGTGTGGAGGATTCGACCGCTAACTAAACGTCCTGAGTTCGAGTACAGTCTTGGCATCTTTACCAGTCGAGTTCAAGCAAATTCAGAGGCGGTCGTTCAGTGCAATGTTGCAAGCAGGATACACTTAACGGTCATCAAGCTCAATTACTGTCCCAGTGACCGACTTGACCACAAACTTTATCTCAAAGTGAACCGTCGTCCATACTGGGATTGCGCGACACGATCCATTCACACAAAGATTGCTTCTAAATGACTCCCATTTGCCCATCCGTTGGCTTTGCCTTAGGAAGATATCTACCTTCGCAATCAGTTTCCGTTGGCGAGGTAGTATACGAGGCTGCAGGTCTTTCTGCTCAACCTACCTTGACTCAGAGCATATGCTGGTTTGTGCGAACACATAAATGTGCTTCGCTGGGCCCCGGAAACAACTTCACTGTATGATTGTCACAAACAGTTTAGTTGACCCCTCTGTTCAACTGAGCTATCAAGCTGCACTATCGGATGCTTTCACCTGCAGTTCACTCAAGGATGTTGAGTAAAGTTGGGCTTGTTTGCACGAAGCGATGCTTTCCTCTGGTCAATCGCTTGTGGTCTCACCCAACACTCTTTGAATAGTTGCATCTCTGCTCGCTCGCTAGAATGGTGCGACCGCCGTCGAAAAGTACCACCAGACTGTCAATCGGCAACTGGAACAAAGCTTGCATAATGACTGCGACACTTGGCGGTTTCAGCGCGCCTCAGAAATGGAGACCGCTGCTCTCCCGGAAATTTCCACAAGCTCTTCCAGTTCAATCGGTTCACCTGCTCCAGAAAGCCTGCTATCAACGAGATTAGATGTAAAGCGGATGGGTCACTAATTACTAAGATGCAAAGACACGTAGAGCGCTGCGCCGAACATTTTCACTCCCAATTAAATCCCCATCATCTGTCCGCTACTAGGCCAAGTACACCAAGTTGCATGCCCTGGGGCATTTCATTGGAGCCACCTAACGAAGCGGTTTTCGTCGAGATTCGACACCTTTAGGATAAATAAATAAATAAACCGCCAACTGCACGCCGTAACGGCGCTTCGCTGCCTCGCGACTACCACCAGTCGCGCGTGGGCTGAGTGTACCGCGAAGACACCCGCCCCTACGCGGATACCAACCGGTGACCTAATGGTTGCAAATTAGGCACGCATACTACTCGGCCACCGGCCGACACCTCAAGAGATTCAAGTCTCCCGGCTTGGACAAACCTCCTCCGGAGATGTTCAACATTGGCGGCTCAGCACTCGTCAAGCCGTTGACACCGCTGTTTTCCAAGATATGGAAAAAAGAGAAGACTCTATGCTCCTGGGGTGAGTCAGTAATTGTCCCTATTTTCAAGAAATGTCCTCTCACATCCTGTGTTAATCCCAGGGGAATCAATCTCGTGCTGGTTGCTTTTAAATTGTTGGCATCCATTCTGCTTCGCAGACTAGCCCTGATCCGCAAGTTGTTTCATTGAGAAGAACAAGCTAGCTTCCGCCCCGGTCGACGATGTGTGAACCAGATCTACACACAACGCCAAATCCTTGAATACCGCCAACACTACCAAAGGCCAACCATTATTGTTTTCCTGGACATTCGAGCTGCATTCGACTCTGTTGATCGACCTGCTTTATGGCATTGTTTGATAGGAAATCAAGTCCCCGAAAAATGCACTTCGATCACTCGGGAGCTTTACTCCCAAGTGTCAGGTATAGTTAAGGTCTTTGGCAAGTTTTCCTCAGCCTTCGCTATCTGGTGTAGTGCGACAAGCGTGCCCATTGTCGCCATTCCTCTTCAAGTTTATAACTTAGGACGTCCTGTTGGGATCGCTGGAAGGCTCCCAAAATCTTGATGTTGAGCTTCTTCCTGGAAATCGCGTGACCGACATAGATTATGCTTATGAAATTGCTCTACTCGATGACGATTCACAGAGTGTACAGCACTTTTGAACCGTCTGGCGATCGAAGCGCCTAGGTATGGTATGCACTTTTCACCCTTGAAGTGCAAAATGTTATTAGAGGAGTGGAAATCCTCTGCCCCCTTACTTACAGTTGAAGAAACACAGCTAGAGCTTGTGGACAACTTAGTCTACCGCAGAAGCTGTATTTCTGCTGATGGCACTATTAAAAGGGGGTATATCTTCGCATCGCCAAAGCCCGGTCGACATTTACCAACCTGAGACATTTGTGGCGTCGTCGGGACATGTCCCGCACCTTGAAGGGTAGGGTCCACAATGCTTGTGGCGGTGCGGTCCTGTTTTGCGGGTGAGTCCTTGCCGGTTGGTGTGGATGAGATGCACAGGCTTTCGGGCTTCGACAACACATGCTTGCGGCAGCTAGCCCATGTGTTATGGCAGCGCCGGGTTCGCAAAGACAAAGTTCGGTATCGTGTCGCAATAACTTAACTGTGGTGACTCGGCCACGTTCTATCTATGTGATGTGAGCGCTTGCCACGCCGCGCCTTATTTGCTCCAACAGGATTGAATTGGAAGATAAGGCGTGAAGGTTAGCCAAAAACTTGGCGGCAAACCATGAAATCGCTGACCTCCCCCCTCACCATGGTCGAGCCTGCACCTCTTCCTGGTTGGGGGCCCAAGGATTAGGAATACCAGTGACTACACACTTGGCGATATGTCAAGAAAAAGCAATCAATGGAAGCACTGTATTTTGAAATGTTTTGAACAACGTGATTAGAGCTATACCATGCAAAATAACAAAAATGAACGCAATGGCGAATGAAAGCAGAAATAAACAAAAAGTAAACCATCTGTTCACCGTTCCTGCTATTTGTATTTTTCATTTTGACCCACATGGTTTTTCAATGACCAATGTCCATTTATAGACTGATGCGTATATATATATATATATATATATATATATATATATATATATATATATATATATATATATATATATATATATATATATATATATATATATATATATATATATATATATATATATATATATATATATATATATATATATATATGGTTGGCGGCATCCGGTTTCGGATTTGCCTGTCACTGTGGCAAGCCACAGGACGCGTGCGCCTACAGAGGGACCATGGATGGCTTGCGCTGCACCACCCACAGCTCCAACCACATACCCCATATCCAGTGTATATATATATATATATATATATATATATATATATATATATATATATATATATATATATCTGGGTGAGGGTGCAGCTGAGTGGAGAGATTTCGGATGACTGCATTTGTCAC